AGTGTACAACGAGTTGGCTAGTGGAGGACCCCTCGTCCTAACGAAGTGTCCTAACTTTGCACACTTCACAAACGTTTAGGCAACTGCGCACCGTTGTGGAAGTTTTAACACTTGGTGTGGGTTTCCTGAACTAACTGATACGAAGACCAGTATGTAACCAATTGCACACTTTCCAATACGTTCAAACTTAGCACACTATGTATTATGTTATATACAGGGTGGGTGATCGGCGCCGTGTTTTTTTCTGCTTGTGCTGTACGGGCGGGCTTGCCTATCGTCGCTCGCCATGGCGCCTTACGGCCCCGTGCGAGTATGCAACCCGTCCGCACGCATGAATCCGGTACAGTATAAGCAGAAAAAAAAAAAAACACGGCGCAGATCACCCACCCTGTATGTTTAAACACCATGAAATGTGCAGATCAAAGATAAGCACACATAATGTGTGCACGTTGTGCTCACTAGTTAAGTAATCGGCCATATCATTTACAAACAGCGAGTAAATAACGTGTCGTTAGTGAAGTGGTCTCGGTCGATTCGACCTTGACTTGACTTGACTTGACTAACCGTGAGGCCACCCGTGGCCCTTACTATCGGGGTTATTTTGACCAAATGCTTGATCCTCAGCGACTCTTACACTCTCGTACTGGTCGCCTATGAGCTACGAAAGGTGCATTATCTTCTACTACTGCATGCTATCCCACCCTTCCCGTCCAGGTGGTATCCGCTCTTTGAACAAACCTGGTTAGATTCACAGAAGAGGCGGGTTTGCCTTCCCGCTCTGCCCGTAAGGTGCCATAGCCCCTTGGGTAGGCAGACCCGCCCGCCCCTGCGTCTTCTCTGAATCACCCGATACGCACAAATAACGTTGTTAGGCTTCGCGTGCGCTAAAGCGCAAAACGCGAAAGCGCAAAACGCGAAAGCCTCTAGCGCCCGGTCCGCTGTTCCTCGACAAGACTTTCGTGTTTGATACCTGCTCCACAGCATCCCTCAGCAAGAAGACCCTCCCGCAAAAAAAAAAA